TTTTGTACCAAAGTGTTTTCCACACATTAAACAACTGTATGGTTTCTCTCCTGTGTGCATTCTTAGATGTATTTTGAAAATACTCCTTATTTCAAATTGTTTTTCACAAACTGTACAACTGTAAGGCTTCTCCATAATATGTCTTCTTTCATGCCCTCTTAATTCACAATTTCTTCTAAATTGTTTTTCACATACTGAACAACTGTAAGGTTTCTCCCCAGTATGTATTCTTTGATGTTCTTTTAAATCAGCATTTCTTCTAAATTGTTTTCCACAAACTGTACAAGAGTAAGGTTTTTCACCCGTGTGTATTCCTTGATGTGCTTTTAAGATACTCTTTGTGCCAAAGTATTTTCCACACACTGAACAATTGTAAGGTTTCTCCCCACAATGTATATTTTGATGGCTTTTTAAGTTACCGTTTGTTCTAAATTGTTTTTCACAAACTATACAACTATATGGTTTCATCCCAGTGTGTATTCTTTGATGTGATTTTAAGTTACTGCTTGATCCAAATTTTTTTTCACAAATTCCACAACTATAAGGTTTCTCCTCAGTGTGAGTTCTTTCATGTTGTTCTAAGGAACTATTTCTCTCAAATTGTTTTCCATAAACTGCACAATGATACCGTTTCTCTCTAGAATGTATCCTCTTTTCTTGTGTTAGGTTATCCACTGTTTCAATTTTTTTTCCACTGATTACACAACTGTATGTTTTACCATTACACTGAGGTATATTAAATTTGTTTAGGTTATTTCCATTTAAAGTTGATTCTCCATATATACCACTGTTTAGTTTTGGGGAATTTCTAACTTCTATAAAGTAATCTTCTTGTTTTATGACATGATTACCAGGACACTGACTCCCCCAGCAGGTCTTAATATCTAAAATAGATATAAAGGATGCCTCATCATAGTTAACAATATATTTCATGAACTTCTAAATATATTTAATGTTCTGATATGATCAGTACCAATATGAAAATATTAGAGCAAAAAACTAATTATGATGCAGTTTTTCTTAGGTTCACTCTTTATAGAAACTTTTATACCTGAATCAGAATAGCACTAAAAACAAACAGTAGGTAACATTACATTTTCAAAAGAGGTTTTTAGTAGATAAAGTAAGATCACCTGAAGAAATATGATAGTGAAGTGTATCAACAATCAATGTTCTTTTAGCTAGTATATTTATAGATTAAGATCAAGTTTTAGACAATACTAACATATTTATCAATATATTAATTTTTTTTATCAAGTTTAGGTATGATCCCTCTGATTAAAAGCTATTTGATTACTTCTTTGGCATCATTCAATTCTCAGATTCTACAGGGATAGCAGTGTTCAGCAAGTCACATTTATGGAAATAAATGATAGAAATATATTCTCTGTACACGTTGAAATTAATCTAGCAAAATTGGTTCCAGCCATTAGTCAGAAAGTAAATATTTGAAGAACCAGGAGGATAGCAACTGGTTGGTTATAGTTTCTTTCTGTTTCATTTTACAGAAACAATTGCTGTTCTCCCTATTAAATGTTTTGTTTCCATCTTATCACTTTAAAGCCTGCCACACAATAAATTTCCAAGTAAAATTTTAAAAAAATGACATTAAATTTAGATCTATAAATTTAAAATTAATCTTGTCTCATTTGGTTTAATAACTTTTAAAAATTACCAAGAATTTAACCTTTTCTTAAAGTCAGAGTCAATACACTTAAGATATTTAGATATATATATACTTACCAGATGTACTTTTTAACACAGATTCAATGTCTTCTGGAAATTCAGTTTTAGTTTTAACATTCACATCATTATAGTTTGAACTATCCTGATCATCATCATTGCTGTCGCTGAACTTTGAAATAACATCATCTTCTAACAGATCACCAAGATGTTCTGTTTTCTCTTGGACAGATATGTTCTAAAATCAAACAACATATTCAAAAAGGTCAATAAAAAATAACAGTTAGTGTTATCATTACATTGTCTCCACAGTTAATTAGTTTAAAACATTACAATATAATTAATAAACCCAATGCTTCAAATTTTAGTTATCAAGATAGAGAGTAATGTGGCCAAAACAACCTGCAGAAAACATAGTGTGTTATTAACAGCAGTGACAGTTTAGCTATTTTCCACTTTCTGTAGCTTGGACTATGGTACTTCAAACTATCACATATTTTCAGTGAATGTGCTCTACTATACCCTTACTTCACATACCAAATTTCAAGACAATCCATTAAGAAATACAAGATATAAAACTTCCTATTTTCATTCAATATGTTCCTTTTTTTTCTTCGCAAAGAAAATACGGAAACTTTGTTTCATAGAAAAACATACTTAACTTTCATGGATTTTTTTTTTCAAATCTGGTCTAAATATAAGCCACATTTGCAAAGCTATTTAACAAAAAACACTAAATTTTGATCAAAAAGTCATGTGATCTATCAGTTTGAAATTTTTATGACAGCTTCTCCTGAAAGTAAAGGAGGACTGTTTTTAAGTTTTTGATCAGTCAGATTTAAATACAGTTGATTTGAAGTAGCAAAAATAGTGTGAAACAATGTGCAGATACATAATTTTTGGTTAGGCCAAGCAAACCAGAGTAGCAGTTTTTAGCTCAGGTTTTCAAAAGAATAATACAGTTGGACAATTATAATTCCCTGCAACTTTTAAATGTTATGTAATTTTCCTAGTTAAAGAGCATCACGTTATATTAGCTTATGCAATTAGTGTAGATAATGATGCTTGATAGGGCTGTATTGAGTGCATGAAACTGTTAATCCAGTTTCCAAAGTGTTACTATAAATCAAGTCATTAATACTGTTTTAGAGAATAAAATCTAACATCATGTATTTTAAAGAATCTGGTTGGTTCTGTAAAGTATAGGTCAGTCTCTACTGAATAATAGGGTTGCAATTCTAAAGCTAACATTGGTTACTATCTAGTGTCACTTTCTTAATTCCTGTGGTTTCTTGGTGTTTATTGAGAAAACGTCAGGTTATCTAATCAAAAACACCTTAGGTGTGAAAAAAAAGGTGCAGCTAAAAAGGGATTGAGTGAGTAACTTAACTCTCTTCATACAGGCTCAGTCAATATGACCAACCACATGACCTCTTTGTTCTCATTTAAAGTCTTTATAGATTCGATACTGCTGACTTTTAATATAGTATTATTACGACAGGGGAAGCCACGTGACGCTGGTAACATGTCATGAGATTATCAAAGGATCTTGACTTTTCCTGGCAACTCTAGTTTTTTCTAGGCACCCTCTTTTTTGTATATAAGTCTGGCAAATAAAGTGGAAATATAATTGCAGATAGATAGATGTAGGGACAGATAATTTAGTCAAGCAAGCGGTAGTGACCGTAAGTAAAGTGCATGAATCGTTGTGAATTATAGCATGTGTTTAAGTTAATGTGACTGTGGAAATTCTGTGTACTGCAAAGTTTTATTGAGAAAAAATAAATAAGTTTTATTTATGAAAGGACTTGTATCACTGAAGTTCCTTGGGAAGAATTTATACCAGAAATTAACAAACAACCAGAGGCGTAACAGTATGTATATATTCACAAAGTTTGGCATTCTTTCAGTAAACACAAGTCTTTCACTTAA